TTGACTTCTTGACCTAGGTACATATAGCTGTTGCATTTGGAGATGGTCGTTCCGTTGAGAGCGAATGGGGCATCAGGAACGAGGCTGTTTCTCATAAACATTGTCTTTGTAAGATTCAGCTGTAGTCCGACCTTTCCACACTCACGGTCAAAGTCGGCCAGCATTTGTGCCGCTTGGCTGATGTTTGGTGTTATTAAAACAATGTCATCAGCAAAGCGGAGGTGGTGTAGTTGCCGACCATCTATCTTCACTCCCATTCCTTCCCATTCCAGTCGTCGCATGATGTTCTCGAGGGTGGCACTGAAGAGTTTCGGTGAAATGGTATCATCCTACTGAACCCCTCTCTTGACATCAATGATTACTTCTTTGTAGAATGGTGAGATCCTGGTAGTGAATCCACAATACAGCTCACGGAGGATCTTGATGTATTGAGCTTGAATGCCCTGATTGGCTAGGGCTTCAATGACCACATCCATCTCAACAGAATCAAAGGCCTTCTTTAAATCAATAAACGTTAGACAGAGCGGCATCTTGAACTCCCAAGAAACCTCAATGAGCTTGATTATTATGTGGATGTGGTCGATGGTGCTGAATCCTTTGCAGAAGCTGGCTTGCTCACATGGTTGTTCTTCATCTAGTGTTCTGCCAATCCTATTTAGGATGACTCGAGTGAACAACTTGTAGATGACAGACAATCGGCAGATGGGGGCGATAGTTTCCAATGTCATGGATGTCTCCCTTCTTGTACAGTAGTACAGTCCTGCTGGTTTTCCATTGGGATGGAACGTTGCATTCAGACAGTTAGTATGTGAAGAGCCAAGCCAGCATATTGGTGAGTAAAGCAGGTTCTTCAGGTGTTCAGGTCTGACCTTGTCTGGGCCGGTGCTGTTCATTTCTTTACTGATGAAATGGCGTGTTGGATTTCGGAAGGGAGAACATTGGGAATGACATATCCATCCTGTGGAATTTGGTATGTTGGCAAGTGGACATGGCTATCGAAGAGATTTGAGTAGAAGTCATGGATAATCTTCTCCATTGCCGTTCTGGAAGATGTAATAGATCCATCAGGATGTCGGAGGGCAGTCATCTTGGTCTTGTAGTTGGCGAAGGACAGGCGGGCATTACGAATGCTTTTCCCGGTTTCTGCCGCATCTACCAGCACTTCTGCTCTTCTCTCTTTGAGGTCTTCCTTGATCGCATCTCTGCACTGCTTTGCGAGCTCGGACGTTAGCTTGCGGTTGCGCCAAACCACGCTGGTGAATAAGCTCAAGAATTTTCGAAGACAGGCATTTTTTTTTTGTGGCTGTCTCTCTCTTGGTGTTCCTCACACAATCGTGGAGGTGCTGAACCAGTCGATCCTATTCCTCGTCAATGTTGTCAACAATGGCATCTTCCTATGTTGCTGCAATAGTGCCAACGAGCTCCCAGTTGGTGGTTGTTCTGGGAGTTCTCTTTTTCAACTTTGCAGCCCTTTCTCCCCGCTCTGTGAAGTAGAATTTTGCACAAGGAGACGATGGTCTGATCTCGTTCGGAATTTTGGGACAACAGCGACATCGGTCAGGCAAAACCGTCGATTGAATATGATGTGGTCTATTTTGTTGTGGAATCATCCACCTGGAGACTCCCATGTCCAATGTTTAGATTCAGCCTTCTGGAACTGTGAGTTACCGTGGATGGTCTTGTTTGACATGATGAACTCAGACAGTCTCTCACCCTGTTTGTTCCATTATAGACCATGGGTCCCGATGTGAAGTTCTTCAGCTGATCTTCTCAGTCCTGTCTTGGCATTAAAATCACCCACAATGATCTTGTAGAAGGTGTGGTCTTCTTGATAGAACTTCTCTAGCTCCATGTAGAACTTCTCGATTTCTCTTTCATAATAATGAGATGTTGGTGCGTAGACAACAAAGAAAGAAACTGCGGGCAGTGAGCCACATCTATTCAAATGTAAACGTCCGATTTGGGTTGTTAGACATTTGAATGAATCAATGTTCATGGCCAAGTTTGTGTTGACAAGGACACCGACGCCTCCGACACCTCTTTTATCTCATGTTCCAAGGAACAACTCTTCTCCAGTGTCGAAAACGGCATGATGAGATTGGTGCCTTCTTGTCTCGGTCAGACTAATGATGTCGTACTTGATCTTTCGTGCTTGTACCATCAGGTCCTCAATGGATGCATCTGATGCTAGCATACGTGCATTGAAAGTACAGATGATCATTTTTGTATTCCTTTGTTGTGGCAGCCTAGTTCGGCCTTGAGATTTTATCGGCCTCTCCTTTCTCATCCTTTTCAATGCTGCCATATTGGTGAAGCCTTCAGGGTCAGGGGAATGAGACCCATTGTAATTACTGGTTTTGGCATATCAAATACACAACGGATAGCTTGCGAGGCTCTGCCGTGCGGGCGGAATACTCTTGCTAGCTTGCCATGCTTTCCGAGAGGGAAAGAAAATAGAAACCAAAAAATGAACATTATTTTAAGAAATGGTTAGGTTTTTGAAATTGCTGGTGTCTTAGTGTCTAAGCATCTTGTTTTGCTAAGAATAATAGAATAAAAAAATGGAGGACCAGAGAGAACAGGGACTTAGGTGCAGTTTTACATGTAATCAACTCTGGCTTGATTCCTGGTACTACATGTGTCTTCACACACTCCCAGGAGTGATCCTAAGCAGAAGCGTGAGTGTGGTCTTAAAATCCTTTTAGGGACAAAGTAATGAAAGAGTTTTAGAAAAGAAACAAGAATGACATAAAGGTGACATAAGGGAACTGCCTTCAAAAGTTACTTATTTACACTTCAGATGAGAGCAGGTGTCTCTCTTCTCCTGCACCAGACGAACCGGGAAGGCCACAAAACTCCAGAAACCAATCACAACAATCCTCACTGTGAATTCTCACAGGCTTATCCTGGGACCCCCATGCAAGAGAATAAATCCACTGAAAAATCCCAGGTATGCTGGACCAGCGACTGAAAACGCCAGGTCTCAAGGGGTCAGGACTGAGCCATTCCTTCCCACCTCCCTCCCCTTCTGGGGTCCTGGCTGTCATGGCCACAAACTGCCACCTGGTGCCATTTTAGTGCATTAATGGGTCATGATCCAGAGACTCATGAATGAGTCTCAGAACAGTGCAGTTCACTGATTAGATGGATCTGGACCCCAATTATTTAAATTTTAAATTTTGTTTAAATTTTTAGAATTCCAGCAGTGTGTGACTGGGAAAGTGGTCTCACATTATCTCATACTATTTTTTTTCTTTTTTCTTAAATCACTGTGAGATAGACCCTCACAAACATCTTATATTATTCATAACAAGCAATACAAGATAAATTATTTAGCATCTGCCTATGGGGCAGGCTTGAGTGGTGGTGTGAAACTTCTAAATAACGGTGGTGGGAAGATGTAATGGTGGTGGGGTTGGTGTTGAAATATTGAATGTAATAATTGTATTGTGAACAACTTTATGAAAATAAAATTAAAAAATTTTAAAAAACCAAAGTTACTTAATTAAAGATGATAAAGAAAATAGCCAGGTTAAGGGACAAAAAATAGATACTTGTTTAAACATAAAGGTATCATTTCCCTCCCCTCCCCATTTTTGGCCAGATCATCTCATTTCTTCCTCTTTGAAAATTAATCTCTCTTGACTTCCCTATAAATGTTTGTTCTTTTACAAATAAAATTCACTTTATCCTGTTCCATAAACGTTTAATTTTCAAGTCTCTCCACTTTGTTTCCTGTCAAAACACAGTTGCTGTTGTTCCTTCTCTTTCCTTGGCTTTTTCCCTTCCTCCATGGAGAAGATGACATCCAAATCATCTTTATTTAAATATAAGCATAAAGGATAAGTCAAAGAAATGGAACAGAAAGTATGAAAAACACAATGCATCATTAAATATGGGGACTCTAGGTTAATTAAAAAGAAAGAAGTCAAATAATAGAGGCAGGAATGGGATGATCTGGCAAAAGGTGTGGGAAGGCAGGGAAATGCAAGGAAAGGAGTGTCTGAATCTCGGGTTCACTTTTTCTCCTGGACACAACAATCATCAATTGGGAAGCCCAGTTGCACGGCCAAAGATATAGGTAGGAAATGATGTTCTGACAACTTGCCTCTGCTCACGGTCATTTGTGTTCTTCACAATTTAGCTCAGTCTGCCTCATTTTGACCTGTGTCAAATCTTCAAAAACAAAAAAATATCAAAAATCCAAATACCGCAAACCTGAAAACTACTGTCCTTTAAATAAGTGTACTTTTTTATTCATAAGATAATTTATACGCAATTTATTTTATATCTCTTGCAGATGCTAATCAAGCCATGGAAAACTAGAAACCCTGCAATTGAATCCTAAAAGATCTGGATTTCACAGGAAAGCAAGAGAAGTTCTAGAAGTTCCTCTGTGCATGGCCTACTACTACTGACAAATGGCCTTCAGCTCCCATGAGGGGGTGTTTCTCCTCCTCTGAGCAATTGCTGAGGTTCTGATGAACCATATTTTGTTTCAATAATTCTTCTGAACCAAATAAACTGAATAAAATCAATATGTCAGGAGTTGGGAGAATAATAAATGAGTGAATAGTGGAGGAGGCGCAATAATAGATTGAACCTTTGAAAGGATCAGTGACGCCCAGGGAGACAACAGAAACTGAGAGGGTGAGTAAGAGTGATAATATGTTCAATTAGCATTTTGAAGGCAATCGGAGGGACTCCAGTGACGGATGGAGTGATGAAAATAAAATTGGCCTGAATACAGATCTCCACAGGAAGCTGCTCCTTGGTGAGTGAAGTTTCATCCTAGCCTACACCATAAGTGCACCTCGGAGTGTGATTGATCATTCCATTCCTCCCGATTCCTTCTGCATGTTGTCATAAGTATGATCCCCCAAAGAAGGTTGCCAGATAAAACAGAAAATGCCCAGTTTATTTTTATTTTCAGAACGTCAACATATATTTTAGTATTATTATGTCCAGAAAACATTTGCAACGTAATCTATATGTTTGCATCATGAGGTAGGATAATACTTACCTGCTTGTCTATTCAGAGGGCAGATAGTATTGGATGATGACTCGAGTTTGCATGATTTGTGACTATATCTCTGTGTTATCAGTGCTCACAACACCTTAATCACTACTGATTCTTTAAGATATATATGTAAATATACATATATATGCACACACACATATATATAAGGATTGCTTGTCAAATTTCCATATGAAGAAACATCTGGAAACGTGTTAATATGCTAGCTCTTGGAGAACTGATTTAGAAGGTATGAGGCAGGGTGGATATGCTATTTCTGTCTTGTTTAAGTGTTTCATATACTTTGCATATTTGTCTACTTTTAAATACTTTGAAAAATACTTTGCAGAATCTGCCTACTTCCCAGACTCTGGGAATTCACAAGTTGTTTCTTAATAAACAATGTCCAGGATTCACAGTGACTGTGGGCTGACTAATGTAAAATAACCAATTATTTATTTTTTCAAATAAAATAAATTTAAAACAAGAAAGCAAAATGGAACTAGTTAAAGATTTTTTTTTTATTAGTGAAACACCATGAGGTACAGTTGTAGATTTACAATTTTTTTGTGCTTGGGTTTCCATTATACAATGATCAAATACCCATCCCTCCACCAGTGCCCATTTTCCACCACCATGGATAATATCCCTCCCACCCCCATCCCCCCCATCCCACCCTGCCTCTGTGGCAGGGCAATTCCTTTTATTTATTTTTATTTTTTAAAATAAAGATATTTTATAGTGCAATTCTGGGGGAATATTCAATAGTTCATGTTAGGAAAGTTAAGGAAATAAACTTATATTGCTAATTTAAAAAACTTTTAAAAGAGAATATATTATGGGTAGTGGAGATGGATGAATTTGTAAAGCACATATCTAGAATGTGCCAGCTCTGAATTTGATAGCTGGCACCACATGATGCTCCAAGCACCCTGCATTTGGCTAGGTGACTGGTAAAATCTCTGCCAGATGGGTCTTCTAAAGAAAGAGGATATGCCAAATAATTCTTACAGATGCATATACATGAAGAGAAATTTATTTTATTAGAGTGTGGTTTCTTTTTTATACAGATTCAGCCAGTTGCACCTCTATATTTGGGGTGGTATGAAATAAAGTAACTCTATCTTACTTCCCTCCGGACTCCATCTGTATCAGTTATTGGTGACATTCTGTTCTCACATGTGTATGCTGGTAGAAATAGACACAACTTTATTAATTAAGTTTATCTTACGCCATCTAAAATATTCTGCATAAAGGGACAGGGGATATGGACCGTGTGGCTAAACAACTTCTCCCAGTTATTCTATACCCAAGGCTGCTCTGGCCAGTGATTTGCTGATTGGGAATGAAAGAGGTAGAAGACCACCAGGGTTTCTTCCTCCTTCCCAGAATGCACTGCCACCTGGAGTGAGCATGTCCAGATGAGAGAAGTCTGGACTCAGAAAAAGGTCATCCCAATGAATTCCTAGTGCATCTCAAGTGTCTTTGGGGAAGCTAACCATTTTAACCTTACGTTTGAAAATATGATAACAATTTTCTGGTCAGTGGGTCTGCAGAGCTTATCAGAATTACCTGCACAGCTTTAGAAACGGACTTTCACTTCATGCCTATGGGAATATATATATATATATATATATATATATATGCTTCTCAAATACATTCAAATATATATGCATAGCGCCACATGCAAATGAGTGATGAAGAAGTTTTCTATACACCAGTGAATGATTGTTTTTATTTATTTGGGGAGTGGTGTCTCCCTGGGTCCACCTAGAACTTCTTACATCAGAATATCTGATCTTGGCAGGAAGGGGTCATTAGTAATTTTCAAAACTTCTCCGCTGATTCCAGTAGGCAGTGAAGGGTGAGAATATCAGGGGAGGTGTTTGCATCTCCATTTTTCTTTCAATTTCAGGGGCCCTTCATTAATGAACGCTGCACATGACACATAGTCAATAGCGAGATACCCTAAGAATCATTTTATAAGTGACAGGGTATCATTTAAAAATCAGTACCAGGATATTCTTGGTAATCACAGCCAATGCTTTTTAAGCAGTTTCAGAGGGCACACATAGCAGGGAGAGTCTGGGAAACCCTTGCTACTCTCAGAGGCCAAAGAAGGAGAGCTATCTAGGCCAAGACAAACAACCTTATCCCTTTTCAGTGTTTCCCCAGAGCTTTGCACCCACGGAAGGGGAAGGAGGTTGTGAAATATGTGAGACATGCAATCTACAAACCGTTCCTCAGGGGTGAGCTCATCCTGTCACCATGTAGCTGCCCGAAGAAAGTCACTTGAACCGAAGCTGCTATATGAGATCCTCTGAATGAAGGGGATGACAGCTTCTTTCCTTGTGCTCTTCAGAACATATCAAAAGAACATGTCACACAAAAGGCAGATAGGATAGAGAAGGGCCCAGTATGACAATAATAGAAATGATCACTCTGGACAAGAACTGAGTGTTGAAAGGAGGTAAAGAGATATACGCGATAACCTTCCAGCATCTTTCTTGCAAACAAATGCCCAAAATAAGAGAGAGACAGAGACAGAGACAGAGACAGAGACAGAGACAGAGGGACAGAGAGAGACAGAAAGAGACAGAGAGAGAGAAGTACCTGGTACACAGGCAGGAGGGGTTGGTTGTAGTAGGGAAACTTACAGAAGAGCACATTGGTGGTGTGGAAAGAACACTAGTTAAGGCACACGGGTGTTGGAACGCTCTATAACTGATGCCTGATCATGAACAAATCTGTAACTGAGTATCTCACTATGAGTCAATAAAAATAAATTTTAAAAATTAAAAAAAAAGGAACTGGACCTGGGCGGCCATTTCCCCCATGCCTGCGCCCCCGTCGTCACCTAGGACCCCAAGCCACCCACCCTCCCCAAGCCTTCTGGCAGGTCAGTGAACCAAGCCCGTGGTGCCACTCCCTCCCTCCAACGCCCTGCCCCGTGCCCCCCTACCCCCCACCCCTGCCTGTACCCCACCCACATTGTGGTAGTGGGCGTGGTCTTTGCAGAAGTGGACATTTCCTGTTTTGGGGTCAGTGGCTGCTCCTGTGGCCACAGTTATTTTCCCCTTACCCAGCATCAGGACTCACATCTTCATCACCATCACCTAATTCTGTGGAGATTATCCTGGCCATCTCAAACACATTAGGCTAATAGTCCAATAGCCTATTCGAATTGCATCATAATACTGGTGGACACAAGAAGCTCTGTAAGCCCAATATAAAAGAACACATCCTCCAAAGCTGTGTTGAGAGGATGATGAAAAGGGTCCAGGCACCTCCAAAGGCATTACTCACAAATACGGTCTCTCAGATAAAGAATTCAGGAATGAAATGTTGAAGATGATCAATGAACTCAAAGAAACAGTGGAACAGACATCCAGTAAATTAAAGGAGGACATGCAAGAAACAGTGGAATGGACAGCTGAGAAAGTACAGGAAGAATTGAGAGCAGAAATTAAAAAGCTACAAAAAAAGTGTCACGTATAAAGGATTCAGTAGATGAAATTAAATACTCAGTGGGTGCCCTCAATAGTAGAATGGCTACAGCCAAAGACAGAATCAGCGAGCTTGAAGATGAGCTGCAGGAAGCTTACAGGTAAGAACAAACTATGAGAAAACACCTCAAAATAGCTCTTAGGAGAATCAGAGACCTAGGGGATGATTTCAAGAGAAACAACATTAGAATCATCAGAATACCAGAAGGAGAGGGAGAAAACCCCAATGAAAAAGCCACAATTAAAAATATCATTGCTGAAAAGTTCCCAGAGCTGGAGAATACAGGCATCCAGATCCAAGGAACCCTAAGAGTGCCAGCTAAAAGAGACCCTATCATAGTCATAGTCAGAATGATGGGTGCCATGGATAGAGATACAATACATGCAAGCAGCAAGGTCAAAGAAGGAAATCACATACAAAGGAGCACCTCTCAGATTTACAGCAGTATCAGAGGAAACCCTCCAAGCCCAAACACAATGGTGGGATATAGTGAAAAACTCAATGAAATGAATGCCTCACCAAGATTACTTTATCTGGCTAAACTCTCACTCAAAGTAGAAGTATAAGGAATGATACACTATTTCACAGATAAACAACAGCTCTGGAACTTCATAGACTCAAAACCAAACCTAAAAGAAGGATTAAAGGGGCTACTGTAAGACAAGAGAAATCCCTACAAGTGCAACAATTCCCTACAGAAAGATGGCACAAAACCCCATGACAATAACCTCCCTCAATGTCAATCTTCTAAATGCACCAATTAAGAGACACAGAGTAGCAATACTCCCCAAAGCATTGTACAAATTCAATGTGATCCCTATAAGGATACCCATGACATTCTTCAAAGAAATGAATCAAACACTTCTAAATTTCATATGGACAATAAGCCCTCACGAATAGCTAAAGCAATTCTTCAGAAAAAGATGAGAGGCATCACCTTCCCCAACCTCAACCTCTACTAAAAGCGGTAATAATTAAAACAGCATGGTACTGGAACAAAGACAGCGCCACAGACCAATGGAACATGGTTGAATATTCTGACATACACCCTCAAATATATGATCATCTGATCTTTGATAAGGGAGAAAGAAATGTGAAGTGGAGCAAGGAAAGCCTCTTTAACAAATGGTGCTGGCAAAACTGGACAGTCGCATGCAAAAAAATGGGTTGAGATCTCTACCTAACACCATGCACAAAAGTCACATCAAAATGGATTAAAGCCCTCAATATCAGACCAGAATCCATTAGGCACATTGAAGACAAAGATTGCATGACATTGAAGCTAAAGATATCTTTATTTATTTATTTATTTATTTAATTTTTATTAGTGAAACACCATGAGGTATAGTTGTAGACTTACAAATTTTTGTGCTTGGGTTTCAGTTATACATCCCTCCACCAGTGCCCATTCTCTACCACCAATGAGCCCAGTATCCCTCCCACCCCATCTTAAAAGGTGACTCACCATTGGACAAGCAAATGGAAACAGAGATAAACAAATGGGAGTACCATAAACTGAGAAGCTTCTGCATCTCAAAAGATACAGTGACCAGAATACAAAGATAGTCTACAGAATGGGAAAGGATATTCACCCAACATCCATCTGATA